CGTCGTTGGAAATGGTGGTAAGTGCAGACTCTGTTGTAGAAGAAGTTGTCGGACCTGATGAAGGAGCTTGTCTTGTTGTACGGAGAACGCTCAGTAATAGTCCTGATCGAACAGAAAACCTCCAGCGAGAAGCTATCTTTCATACCCGTTGTACCGTCGCCCAAAAGGTCTGCACGATGATTATCGATGGTGGTAGTTGTACCAATGTGGCTTCACAAACCATGGTCTCCAAATTGAACCTGTGCACCGAACCCCATCCGTCTCCTTATGTGATTCAATGGCTAAATCAAGGTAAGGGAATAAGTGTATCTCACCGAACTCTTTTGTCTTTTAGTATTGGCAAAACTTATGAAGACCAGATTTGGTGTGATGTTATTCCTATGGATGCTTGCCACGTTTTACTCGGTCGCCCATGGTTGTTTGATCGCCGGGTGATGCATGACGGCTATCAAAATACCTATTCTTTCACTCACCAAGATCGAAGAATCATACTCACCCCAATGTCACCAATCACCACTTCCCCTAAGCCATTAAGTACTCTGTTGAAGGCTGAACAACACGAGTATTATTCTTTCAAGGACTTTATTCTTATGGGTCTTGATGAGGATTTGCCTAACCTCCCAACCACTCTTCACCATTGTATCCAGTCTTTGTTACAAACCTATAAACATGTATTCCCTGCTGAGATTCCTTYCGGTTTGCCTCCCCTACGTACTATTCAACACAAGATCGACTTAATTCCCGGGTCGATATTACCTAACAAACCAGCTTATCGATCTAACCCACAAGAAACAGCCGAGATGAGAAAACAAGTTGATGGGCTGTTACAAAAGGGGCTCATACGCGAGTCACTCAGCCCGTGTGCTGTTCCCACGATACTCGTGCCCAAAAAGAACGGCGAATGGAGAATGTGTATGGATAGTAGGTCAATCAATAAGATCACTATCAAATACCGTTTTCCAATTCCCCGATTAAATGACCTGTTAGATGAGCTCCATGGTGCTACTGTGTTTTCTAAGATCGATCTACGGAGCGGTTATCATCAGATCAGAATATATGAAGGCGATGAGTGGAAGACAGCTTTCAAAACCAAAGAGGGTTTATATGAATGGCTCGTTATGCCTTTCGGMTTGTCCAACGCACCCAGCACTTTCATGCGCTTGATGAACCAAGTATTAAAACCTTTTCTGGGCAGGTTTGTTGTTGTTTATTTCGATGACATCCTTGTGTTCAGCAGAACCGAACAGGATCACCACTTCCACCTTCAACAGTTGTTCGAGGTGTTGGATCAGGAAAAGCTCTATGGGAACTTAGATAAATGTGAATTTTTCACTAATCAAGTCACCTTTCTTGGATATTTAGTTTCAGCACAGGGTATTCAGGTTGATGAAAGAAAGGTTCAAGCTATTCGGGATTGGCCAGTTCCCCGATCTATTCAACAGGTTCGCAGCTTCCATGGTTTAGCTTCTTTCTATCGGCGATTTGTGAAGAATTTCAGCACCCTTGTGGCCCCCATGACTGAAATAACGAAATTAAAACAGTTCGTTTGGAACCCGCAAGCGCARTCMGYGTTTGAAGAGCTCAAAAATCAGTTGTCATCGACCCCGGTTTTGGCACTACCGTGTTTTGAAGAAGTCTTTGAGGTCGAGTGTGATGCTTCCGGAGTGGGAATTGGAGCTGTTCTATCTCAGTTGGGTCGCCCAATTGCTTATTTCAGCGAAAAACTAAATGAAGCAAAGCGACGWTACTCGACTTATGACAAAGAATTTTATGCGATAGTCAGGGCTTTGGATCATTGGCAACATTATTTGATCTCCAAGGAGTTCATATTGCATTCTGATCATGAGGCACTTAAATACATTCAAGGGCAACACAGGTTACATTCTCGACATGCCAAGTGGGTGGAGTATTTACAAGCATTTAATTTCACCATTAAGCACAAGTCTGGAAAACTAAACAAAGGGGCTGATGCGTTATCTCGTAAATATGCATTGGTTAATTCACTACGGCCGCGAATTGTTGGGCTCGAACTACTTCCGCAAAACTACCCTTCTGATCCTGATTTTGGAGATCTATTTACCAGCTGTCAGACTCACGCTACGGGAGACTATCATATCTCTAATGGCTTCCTGTTTAAGAAAAACCGTTTATGTATTCCCAGGCATAGCATTCGTTTGCTYTTGATCAAAGAAACTCATGAGGGTGGACTAGCAGGACATTTGGGAATTGATAAGACCTTTACCATGTTACAGCATTATTTTTTTTGGCCCAAGATGGTGCGTGATGTGGAACATTATATCCGGCGGTGTTTACCCTGTCATCGGGCCAAAAGTCACTCATCTCCCCATGGTTTGTACATGCCATTACCCGTACCTGTTGCCCCTTGGGAAGACGTTAGTCTTGATTTTATCATTGGATTACCCAAAACGCAACGCCAAAAGGATTCTATTATGGTAGTGGTCGACCGTTTCTCYAAGATGGCTCATTTCATTGCTTGTCATACCACCTATGATGCTGTCCAGATAGCTAATCTCTACTTCAAAGAAATAGTTCGACTCCAAGGAATCCCACGTTCAATGGTTAGTGACCGGGACGTCAAGTTTCTTAGTCATTTTTGGCTAACTTTGTGGAGGAAAATGGGTACCAAGCTCAAATTTAGTACTTCCAGTCACCCCCAAACCGATGGGCAGACGGAGGTAACTAACCGTACTCTCGGGTCACTACTTCGTTCGCTTCTCAATGCTAATCTGAAACAATGGGAGGAATTACTACCTCAGGCTGAATTTGCCTATAATCGAGCACCCAACAAGACCACTGGACGCAGTCCTTTTATGGTTGTTTACGGGTTGGACCCAA